GGAGCGGAATCTTTCCCCAACCAAATCTCAAATCTCGTGCCCTGCCTGGACCGAGACATGAACAAGAAACACCAGCCACTCACGTAACAAAAATGATCCTTTGCATCATCACATCAGGGTACTGCTCCACCTTGTCTCAAGTCTTGTCTGCTGCTGGTGTCTGGATTCAGATGAAGGCAGTCTAAAATCCCAACACACACCTGACCAGTTACTCACTAAGAAAATAATTTTCCTGCCCTGCTCATGACCAGAAGAAACCAGGGAGCAGCCGACACGATCACCATCTTGATGACGAGCTGCTAGAGCAAGTTCTGTGCAAAGCAAGCCATTCTGTTCCCCTCTGCCAAGGGCCTGTGAAAGGTGGAGAAAAGTGCAGTGGTCTACAACTTCCTCAACTGCAAGATCAGAACAAAACACCACGACCACCTACTCTGAAGTCAAACTAAACTGCATATGTAATTTCCCTTTATGAATTAAAGGCTAGCGAGTCCATCATCTGCCCCAAGCTGTTGCCCTCATGTTTAACTGTTTTTACCTTTCAGAAACCATCCCTCTTTTCAACAGGATTAATTTGTCTAACTACAGTTGCCATCAGCTGCTTATTGCATCTTTACCAATAACTGGAAAAAGCCCCTCTCTCCACTATCTAGTATCTTCTCCATGTGCCAACGTCTATACAAGTTTGGCCTTTTTTCTACTACACCATGGGTATTGGTCTCCTTAAGGTTCACTCTGCAATTCTGTTATTGGATCAATTTTTGGGGCCCTATGTTGAAATTTCAACAGTAACACCAAGTTGAAATGGAAGTAATAGAACTGGAAACAGTATGATCCCAGTGGTTTTATTCAGCCTTACAAAGGCTCTTAAGTATGCTCACCTCTATTATTGCAAGTTATTTCAGTAAATTCAGTGGAACTGAAGAATGCAAGTATATTTGAAGGATTAAAACCAGACAGCAATAATGCTTAGCTACAACAAAACACCTTCCATCCACAGATTCTATTTTCTTTTACTGGACAAGCAAGCACAGAATTACTTACACATGCAAAACCCAACAGAGCCTTTAGGAGAACGTAAACTGTTTCTGTTTACAAACAGAAATAATTGTAATTAACTTTTTCCTTTTTGCCACTATAAGGGAAACAAGTTTCAGGTGGTTATTGGTAGGCAAACATGAAGAACACCCATTAAAAAAATTAAAGCCAGATAAATTAAGTTTTTACTTATAGGAAGAATTTCTTGAATGCCCGAAGATTAGGTAAGCAACCAGTTCCTTCTCAGTGCTTATCAACTCCGTTCTCACTTCTGATTGGCAGAAATTCACTCCCTAGACTTGCTCCTGTTTGGTAGGCATTCCCCTTCCCATGCTCAGACTCCTGCTAATGGTCAATCATACCTAACTTTCAGCCAAACACACCTTTTAAAAAAAAATTAAATCTGTCTTTTCTGTGAGAGAACCTAACAGAAGCTGATTTAGAAGTCTTCTCTATGAAATACTGATTATATTTTCAGCAAACAAACAAAACAAAAAAAAATTCAGTCTCAAGTGGAAATTTCAGGCTGAGGCAAAAAACAATGCATGGAAAATTCCAGCCAAAAAGGTTAAAGTCTTGTCAAAATCCTAAGCAAAAGAAAGCACTGAGTTATGACAGAAAGCGTTAAGCAATTGTAATGAGAGGTATTGCTACTGTGCTGCTTATAATACAGATGGTATTTTAAAATGTTCTAAGAGTATTTAAGAAAGACATTAGTCATACAGAATAAGGAGGTTGCAGGATGAATTACTTAAGAATGAAGGGTAATATAACAAGGAGTGTTGGTCTAATATTAGAATAGAACAGATTTTAATTAGAAGTCAAGAAAACATACACAGTGATGAGTCAACTGGACAGAGTACATCAACCATGGAAGTGGCTGAGGCATCAGAAAATGAGATATTTCATATCAGACTTTATACAGTAAGAGGGCACAAAAGGCAAGAGTTATTTCTCCAACCTGAGCGAAAGAAAGAAGCATGTAATGTTGGAAAGCTTTTCCAATTCTTCTAAGATACTAACAACGCTTCCTAAGACCTTGATCTTGCCACGTTCTAAGCACGGAGGCTCCAATTCCAAAAGGCACTTCGACTCCTCAACTGTGAACATCCACATTGTCCCAGATGACTTCATTGCAACTGTTCCTTTTTTCAGCAGACAAATGCTACATCAAACAAAGGCCAGAGGGTTCAACACCATTTGGAATTAAGGAGTAATAGATATAATTCATGCATCCTGTGTCATTCTTGAATGGAACATACAGTACAGGAGTTCAGAGAGCTAGAAGAAAAGGACAGAGGTCAGAAGATTTTTAGAAAAAATTCCCAGCTGCCCCTTAAGCAAACGTACAC